AAAACAAATTTGATATTCTTTTATTTTTATAATATAAGTAAACACTTAAGTGTCATGTAAACGCAATTTATTATTGTGATCATATGACTTTACTAGCATTAATTCACGTTTATAGAAGTGTGCAGATACTTTGTCCATCCTCTGTAGGAAACACTGTATTATCAAAAATAGTATCATTATCTATTAGTTCATCCTCCCATCTTAAGACAGGTAGTTTTTTAATAACTTTACTAGGAGTAGCATTAGGCTTTTTAATGAAGAAGGAGGGAGAGGAGGTCATTTGTTTTGAGTTTATAGGCGTTTGATGTTAGAGCTCAAAGGATTAGTGACATCAGCAAATGTAATGTTATTTCTGATAGCATTACGAAATTTCTTAGGTGTAGTATATCTATTAAATTAGGCAGGTTGAAACTTTTAGTATAGGTATTGAGTGTTTTTGTCTTTTGGAGTATTTTATTTTTAGAGCATAAAGACGCATTATGATGTGTTAATAAACAAATGGTACATAGTTTAGTTTTTGCATCAGTCTATTCGAGTTTTTTATTGTTAAGTGTAAGTTTGTCAATCACAATTGCAGCATCAGCTTCATCAGCATTGCGAAAGTAAAAGTACACATGTTGCAAATAATTATAATTTGATTTTGTTTGTGAAACAATTCAAGTAATAGCATCGACTATTTTACTAATATCAAGAAGGTTATGTGCTGTAGTATCTCATAGAAGATTAGTTAGTTTTTTTGAGAATTTGGAACAATCTTAGATTTCTTTTCTGCTTTAGTCACACATATAAATATGAACAGAGTTGTTAATAATAAACAATCCATTAGTCATTTGAAGAAGTTCAAATTTAGTTTTATCATCAATGGTGATAGTAGCATGTTACTACAAGTTTTTGGTTTTTATGATACGACATATGATATTTTCATAATAGGAAAAAAATTTTTTAATTTGTATAACTGTAAAATTCAATGGGATCTCAGTTACTGTGATTGACTATGCAGATACAAATGGGTGCAATTTTTGTATAACTAGAGGTAAAAACGTAGCTTTATCTATATTAGGAATCTGTATATTATAAAGAATATCACGTTCATTGAAGTCTAAAAAGGCAACCTTGAAAATGTTGATTGAAAAATTAGCAGGAAGTTTTTTATGTATGACTCCAGCAAAAGAAGCATAGTTGAAACAATATTATCAGTAATTTCTATGATCTTCTGTTGGGAGTTAGTTCTAGGGTATTTTTCAAACAGAAAATATGCGAAAAATTTTTTAGCACTAATGAGTGATATAGTGAAAGCTATTGAAGTGGTATCAATAGTATTTTTTGATATGTCAAAAGAACCGTTGTTGGCTTGATATCTGTAAACTTAAACGATAAACTTTTAATTCAATCTGTCAAATTAAATACAAGACAATATCACAATCACGCCTATATGAAGACACAACAAAAGGCAATAGTAAATGAATTTAACGATTCCTTTATTGAACTCTTGGTTTATCCTAAAACCTCAACTTGAGTTACTTTTCAACTCAAGGAAAAATACAAGATATTTATATAAAATAAAATAATATAAAATCAACTATAACAAATATAATAAAGAGAACAAATAATATAACTATGATAAATATAATATATATAATAAATAAGATAATTAATAAATATAATAAATATAATCCATATATAACGTTAACAACTTTAGCAACTCTGTCAACTTTGTCAACTTTGTCAACTATGTCAGATCATTTAAATCACATGACTTTTTTAGCATAGTCACGGATCACGGCTTCACTGTGATAAATATGAAGTATGGATGCAGTGTCGTTCCTGGCCTTCATATTAGATTTATGATCAACACTCCAACACAGAGTCGCCCACCCTGTCTTTCATAATGCGTACTCAATATTATAATAATTTTATTGCAGATCAAAAAATGAAAAAAACTGATAAATATCTATGACGGTATATCGAAGATGCTCAACAACTAGAATTGATCTGGGAAAGGAAGGTAAGTATCAGTTGATTTATTTAATTTTGTAAGGATTTTATCTGACAACATTATAAGTTTGCTTAAAATTTCAAGTTAAAATGAAAAGTTGATATGTGTTCTGTAGAAATATTAGATAAATCAACTTCTGAGCAGGGACCGATATCCTTGATGGTCCATCTCAGAAGAAATTACGTCATGAAAACTGAGTACCATTTTCTGATTTACATTTGAATTCTCAAGTGGGTCGTTATTATGATAACAAAAAAGTTAGAATGGGTAAGAATTCTCAAACGCAGCATCATTAAATCATGATGATAACGAAAGGATTATAATGAGTGAGAACTCTCAAGCGCAGCATTTTTCAAATATGACTGACGATAGAACCCATGATGATAACAAAAACTTTGTTATTAGTAATTATATAATTTTTTTTTCAAATAGTTTCGCATTTTAATTCTAATAGAAAAATTATAAATTTTAATCCAGGTACTTCTCTTCAAGGTACCAAGGAATCAACACAATTTATAAAAATATACGTGGAGAGATCCGTAAAGAAACTCGTAATATCGGAATAATCTTGAATTGGGACATATCTTTTTTTATTGCATTTGCTTTTCAAAATATTTTGCTTTACTAATTTAGTTTCTTAGATTTCTTGGCGAAAAGATGTAACTGATGCATATATTCTGGCTATAATATTTGTTAAATTAAAAATAATTAGAGATCGTTGTTACATATAAAACAATTCATTTTCTTAACTATAAAATGAGATAATAAGTATTTCAATAATATGCGATAGAAACGTATTAACATTTATTTTGACCCTCTCGATCTGATCTTTTGATTTATATTCTAAATATTATATTTAGTTCTAAGTTGAAATATATAGTTATTTATTCATGCAATTTTGGTTAAATTTTGTAATAGCAATAATTCAAAAATAAAAGAAATAAGTTTCGCCATAATCAATTTTGATATTAATTATTCACATATTATATGTGAATGTCGACTACTTCGAAAGTTAAGAAATCAATTCTTCTTCTTTAGGGCCGGTTAAAATTTTTTTTAAATTCATTAAAAAATCGCCGCATCATGTTGTTCTACTTTGAAGTGAATACCATATCATTATTGTACTTATATAACTTAAAATGATCTAATGAAAGAAACTTGAAGTAAATTAAATAATCGACATAAAAACATAAAAAAATAAAAGAGAAGACGTAAAAGGAGAACTCCTTCTATGTATAAAATTTTCTTTGACACTACTTACAAGGTAAATAACGTAACAATTAAAATATGTTACGTCGTGAAAAAGCACGTAATATCATCTTTTAATGGTGCATTGTAAATCTAGTTTGATTTAATCTTGAAATATTCAGAAATTAACTAATTCCAATGTTTTAAATATTTACATAATTAGGAGAACCAAAATTATCATTCGCATCACCAAATTTATGCTGCGGCGGACCATGTATAACAGTATAACTGAGTTTTTCCAGAAATTGAAGATCGTCTCTTTTTCGGGTTATGCTTTTTTTCTTAAAATAAATAAAATAAATAAAAATATATAAAGACCACAAATTTACTATTTCTAGGTTCTTTAGGACTTTTTTTTTTTTAAAAAAAAAAAAAAAAGTTCAAAAAAAATCAAAAAAAAAAATAATAGAATTATTTTATATTCGTTTATTAACAATATATAATCATTATATATGGAGAAAAGAAACCAAGCAAATGGACACCTTCCATTCGAATTCAATGATTCAGAGCAACTTGGACCTTGGGAAATTCTTCTTAGTGAAAGCACGATCGAAGACATACGGGACATGTTGTATAATGAAGACTTCAAAGACATGCAAATTGAGTTATCTCTCACTATTGAAACTATCATAAAAAAACTTAGGCAAATATCATCCGGAAAATGGAAAAAGTATGGTTTCCAACGTATAGAGTTATCTATCGATATTTCCATCTACGAAGTGGAGCTCCCTGGCAACAACTTGAAAATTCTCTGGCAAGTTGAGTATGGGTTTTCTATCCATAAATATTTGTTCATATAACATATAAAGGTTTGGGCCATAACTGCAAGCCAAGAACAGATTGACAAGACATTAAATACTCTTGAAAAAGTTTATAAGGCCTACACTTCCGAACATATTAATCTTTGCAAAATCAAAGACCAAGACAATATCGTTTTACCGGAATATTTTGAAGATTATGAGGTTGAGGTTGCAAGGTTCACCAACGAAGAGTTGGATAACGAGTTACTATTAGAAGTTTATAAAATATTTGTTACAAATAAATTTTTTCCAATATCAAGGGTAAAGTATGCTATTATATACGTAATAATTATTTGACGAATAAATACTATAAAGTTAATAATTTTTCTTTCAGAATTTATTCAAGTCACTCATCTTAAGTGGCTCTGATTTCGCTTTTCAAGTATTCAAGACTGAGTATGATATAATTAACCATCCTAAGTCAGCGGTCATTTTTGGATGATCGGGTTAGTTAGCCATTAATTTTACTAAAGTAAAATACCTACTTTCTTATATTTTTTCTAAATGTCTAATATTAGGAACCGAAAAGACTACATGTATCATATTTAGACAGCTTGTTTCATATCTGAAAAGCCAACTTTACAAGATACTATCTTCCCATGGTAATGATGAGTATTTTTACAAAAGACAAATATTTATTACGTTGAATCCCATTCTATGCTTACGAGTAAAGAAGTACTTCAACCAATTGCAAAAGTCGACGGCTTGCAGGCGAGAAGATTACAAAAGCTCAGTTTATTGAGTGGAAGAAAGAATACGGTAATAAAACACTTGATGAACATATTATGCACGAGGAAGACGATGAGAAGAAAACTCTAGGTAAAATTTTGAATTCATTCCGTCTGCTAACAAACAAGCATTTTCCATTATTTATTACCTACGAAAAATTTTTTGAAATACTTTGCGGAACCTATGATATTGACACTTGAACATTGACCACAAAGACAAATCAAGAGCACAATGCAAATAGTGAAAATGAAGAAGACGAGGATGTGCTTCACTTTAGGTCTCCTTTTACAAACATGTCAAAAGCTTCGTGGGCTACCTTTGTTGACTACGATCTGTTCAAAAAAAAGTATTGGCGTCATTTCAACCATCATATTAGAAATAATCTAGATTGCGAGCTGGTCTACTCAGAGTTCTCTATTATTAAAGTATGTAATTATAAATCAACCAACGCATATAATTTGCGCGATTTTAACATTATGAAGTTTTTCAATAAATAATCTGAAGGACACGAATATTGAGGTAGACTACCTATCAAGGGAAGAATACCAGTCTATTAGTACCAGGAAATACCCAGCATTTACTCACAATCGTGATGTAATTTATAATTTATTTGAGCGATATGAGAAGATGAAGGCGCGAAATTATGTCTTTGATTCAGTGGACCGGTAAAGTTGAATTATCATTTTTTTTTTAGTTTTGGATCGGTCTTAATAGATTTTCTATTCCTTTTTTACAGGACTTTATCTATATTACGTGCAACCAAAATGAGAACATTTGGTGGTCTGCATATACATGAAGTGTACATCAATGAATGTCAGGATAACCAGATCATAGATTACATGCTTATTTTGAAACTTTTTGACTGTGCTGACAGCTTTTTTATGGCAGGAGATGTGATGCAATGTATTGCCTGAGGATCTACTTTCTGATTTCAGGGTATGCGTTATTTTATCCTCCAAGATTAAGCAATTATATTTCCATTCTATAATTTTAATTTTTAATAACCAAAACAGAATTATACTCATTAATTTACAATTGGGATCGCAAAAGAGTCCTGACCGAAAACAATCGATATAATCCCTTAAAACCAGAAAAATTCGAACTTAAAATTAATTACCGTTCCCACAGAGGGATTCTTCAATTGGCATCATCAGTAATTCACCTCCTTAAGGAATTTTTTCCTAATTCTATCGACAAACTGTCACCTGATATCGGTGAAATAGGTGGTCCACAACCTATTATCTTTGAGAAATGTCGGGCAAAAGATCTGTTTACCTATAGAAACGGTATCAATAATGCGGATGCATTTATTAAATTTGGAGCTGATCAAGTCATTATAGTACGTAACGAAAAGGCTAAACAGCGTGTGAAGGATCTAAATAGCGATATTGGATTAGTTTTAACTGTATTTGAGGCCAAAGGGATGGAGTTTAATGATGTACTTTTGTATGATTTCTTTACCGATTCACCCGTACATTTACATGTATGGTAATTTGAAATTTGCTTTTAAGCACAATATAATTATTTATTAAAGTTGCTCAGCATACATCATATTTAGTGGCGGGTAATTCTCTCCGTCCTGGATGACTATTCTGAAGGGATTCGCGATTTCAATTCTGATAAACATTATATCCTTTTCTCAGAACTCAAACATCTCTATGTCGCCATAACTAGAGCCAGAAAGCGTCTCTGGATTTTTGATAAAAATTCTGAGAAGAGTGAGCCAACTCAGACATACTAGAAACACAAAAAACTAGTTGTAGTAACCGATAAAATTGACATCTCTACTTTGACTAAGTCTAGTAGTCCATCAGAATGGAATCGCGAAGGAAGGATGTTTTTTGAGCAACGGAAGTATGAACAGGTAAACTCTTTAAATTTCAGTGCTATGCATGAAATAATGAGCTGAGTTTCTAAAAGACAGAATCATCTAGGCTATATTCTGTTTCAAAAGGAGTGGAAATGAGACTGGCGAAAAATTATCCTATGTGTACCATCTTCAACAGATCGTCAGGATTTCTTTCATAACTGATTCTAATGCAATAACAGTGAAGAATAATTTCGAATCAGCCGCTCATGCTTTTCAAGACTGTTTCCAATTGCCACAGGCGGCTTCATGTTATGAGGTATACCTTATTTTTCTCGAAACAAATATGAATTTCATAGTTCCTAATGGTTTTAATTTTGTTCAGTGTAATACATCTGCATTTGAAATTTTATGGTATCTATAATCTACAAAATTTTAGTATATAAACATGCATAAAGAAGCTGGTGAACTCTATTCTGAATCAAAAATGTTTGAGCATGCTGCGCGTTGTTATCGTAGTGTCAAGATGTGGCACGAAGCAGGCGGGTATTATGTAAAGGCTAAGAACTATGATGACGCAGCTCTTGCCTATAAAGATGACAGACTTTACGATATTTTAACTGATTTGATTCAGAGGTAAGCTTAAAACAAGTTGATGAGTTCTATAAATTCCCGTAAGGACCTTAACATTTCATTGTCTAAACTATTAATTAAGGCACAAACAAGATATCAAAGATGAGACAATTATTAAACTCAATATCCATTTTCGCAAAAAGGCAGAAAAACTTTATTCGCATTTTCAGTTTGAAGAGGCTGCAGATATGCTAAACCATTCTGTTGATAACGACGAGAATTCAATTGTTGCTTCTCAGTACCTATTACGCCGATGCAGAGTCAATGTACTAAGAGAGATAATCACAGGCTCAAGTATCATGCAGGAATTGAATAGGCTCCAATCTAAAGCGGCCAAGATTATCTCAAAAATTATAATTCAAACTGAACGATCAAAGAGTTTGATGGAAGAGTCTTGGTTATATATTTCTTATATAAATAAGGATCTCAAGAAAGTCCACGAGTGCAGACAATTTTTCATGAAGAAAAAAGAGCTTGCCACCGAGTTTTTTGCGGTAATCATGTGGCTGCAGATTCCCTCACCATCCGAAATTAATATCAATTATTAGGATGAATGGTTACAATATCTACTAAGACTGTGTAAATTGTCCTTTCCTTTTATAGTCCCACAAAAAAACGATGAAATTCGTGGATATATTTTTCGACTTTGAGAGCAAAATGCAAAACTCTCAGAAACGGAAAGTTTCGTTTTACAACCCTCTTAATTACCTTATACAAAAAAATGAAGTAATTACAGATTGTTGGATGATTTGTGATGTTGATGATGTGCATCAGACAGTTTCCCAGTTCCTTATCACATATATCTACGATCGTATTTTGAAAATTGGTCAGGATGGTAAGAATAACCTGAATATAGCCTTGATAATCTGCTATAATTTTGCATCATTTGGTAATTGTCAAAATTCAAATTGCCAAATGCATCACGTAAGTCCAACACTGTTACTTCTATTCCAACGCCAGAAACTTGCAAGACTTCAATACACTGTGATGCGACAGTTGGATGTATTATACCGTCACGGATTTCTTTGTAAAGAAATTCTTGATTTACAAAATTGGTGGGCTGAGAATCTCGTTAAATGTCATTTACGATATCATTCACCGCATACAAGCTGCCCAGAGGTTACTTATATGGCTCTTGCCAATCTTCCTATTCACGTTCGTGATGGTCTTATAAATGAAGTTTACAAGACAATGTTATTTAATAAGTCAAAGAATGCTAACGACTTTGAGGTTATGTTAAAATACATATTAGTTATTCAGCAGCTGCAGGACAAAACAGTTATAGATGAGTTCTATTGGGAGATATCAAAAACAAAAATACTTTTACACCCAAACGATCTAACCGTTGGTTTTGAATATTATTGTGGAAATTATCAAGCGATTCCAATTGGAAGATATCTCTCGCAATTTTTTTCATTTCTTTATAATAATAAAGTGATTTCCGCGATTATAAGTTCAATTATTTATTAATTATTCACTAAAAAATATTAAGCAAGTCAATCTGATTTCATCCGATGCTCTTGGAAATCTAACATCTCTCGTGAAATTTACAACGTCTTTGATTTTCACAGTTGGTTAAGAGTATTGCGATTTGTGTCTTCCGCGAGCTTACCTGATTAATTATTTTGAAGCATTTAATGCGAAACCGCTCATTTCAGTTCATTATACTTACAGCAGAAAGAACTATTTGTCTGCAATCAATAATTCAATCGATCAAGTTCAACAGCTTCTTGACCTGTTGTTTTGTAAAGAACAGGCTTATTTGACAATTATCCTTCGTCTGATACGGCTTTTAATTCTTATTGGTCTAAATGAATCTAAGTTTGTGCAAAATATCCTTAATCTTTTTAAACACATTATAAGTAAATACGATATCTTTTCTACAAAAATCAAGAAATACTTAAAAGAAGACGATTTTACAAGTCTCAAGATCATTCTACATAATGATCTCAAGGAGAAATTCTGTGACTCTTTGATTATCATACATCATCGATGCATAAGCAAATCGAAATTTGCTTTCTTCGAAAAAAATGGTGTCAAAAGACTTACATATAACTCTATTGAGGAATTCCGTTCTTCCCTTCAAAAGATAATATCCTCCGTTACCGAAATTCCGGAAGATAAACTAGCCTTGCTTGATTCTCTTGTTGAAAGTTAACAAATTTTCATAACATTTATTTGTATATTCTTGAGCTTTTTTTTTTCTTTTATTATTAAAAAAAGCTAGCAAAATGAATATTAAATATAAGTTATCGCAAATGTTGTATACTTTTGCGTATCAATCTATTTTTGGTAATTTTTTTTTTGGATCAAAGATAAGAAATGATTTAAGGACATTTGTTCTCATATTATTTTTCAATAATTTAGTTTTGATTTAAATTAGCAATAAAAAACCGTATGAGGTGAAACATAAAATGAATTAATTTCAGAGATTTTGTGTTTCAGACAATTGTAATACAAAACAAATTATAAATTATTTTACTTATGAGGAAATATATAATAACGACTGGCATTTTTAGTGTCTTATATTTTCTAATGAACATTAACACGATAATTTTATTAAACAAATATTTTTAATATTATAAAAAATTTCTGTTGAAATCTAATCAATTTTGTTTGAAATATGATTCAATTATTAATAATTTCTTGTAAGGTATTATTAATAATTATCTTTTTTATTTGGATTAAACTAAGAAATTGGATTTTATGATTATATATTGACATTTTAATTCATAATGAGAAGAAGAATAAAAGTGAAGTTAGTTTGCTGCGAAAACTTATTTGATTTATCGGTTGATTTTATCTGTAGTAAATTCATCTCCCAAAATCGTATTCAGCATTTTTCTTTTTGCGATGGCTCGATGTAATTGCAGAAATGACTAAATGACTAATGTAAAGAATTAGCATAATTGATAGCTTTAATTTGCAATTGAAATGTGCAATAGAATCTTCTTATTTCAATTTATAGACAAGTATTGAACATGGCAAAACTATAGTCAAAAATAGTTCATTTGATAATGCAAGTCACTCATAAATGTCAAACATGCTTTTCTGATTCTTGCTAGTGGAGTGGTAAACTGATTGATTTAATCTAGGTTAACTAAACAACAATTAAATCTAACTCAGGTCCGTCCTAAGAAAGATTTATACTACAATTTACTTAATATGATTCTTTGTGTAGTTTGTTATTAGTTAAGTTTATAAAGACATGATAAAGGTTGAAAGAGTAACGTGGTATACTATTATATCAAGATATTAGACATCTCTTCTCAAGACATGTCAATCTCATTCTTTGAAAGTGTAAAGGTGTAATTTATTATTTCAAGTTTTCTTCTCAAGACTCGTCAACCTTATTCTTTAAACAAAATAAAATTTCGGGTTTATATACAAATTCCTAAAACTAACTTACTATATTTTAAAATAAATAGAATGAATATATCTATAATAAATAATTAATATAATAAAAATAACAATTATAATAAATTTAAAAAATTTATAATAAAACAATAATAAAAAGAAATCTATTATAATTAATAAATATTCCAAAAAATTTAGCTTTTTAATCCTTGCTTTAATTTTGGCAATCAATAGTGGTTGACAAAAGGAATCTTTTTTATTGTTGAATTATTATTATTGGTTTTCAAAAAAAAAAACAATAATAATCAAAAATAATCGTAGATGCATTACCATTAAAAAGTTGCTATAATTTGCCTAAAAATAAAGATTTGCTAAATTATATTATTAAAAACAAATTACCTTTTTTGTGGTTTTAAAAAGTGGTTCTTCCATACTTTTAAAGAATTTAATATGAATGATAACGAATTTCTCTTCATAATTTTAAGTCAACACCATAAAATCACATAATAACTTATAATTATAGTTTTGCCAGTGACCCTGTCGCAACCTGAGAATTTTCCAGGTAACTATATATTAATCTTATCATATTTATACTTTTTATTAAGAAAATTTTAATAAACATATCTTTAAAAATTAAAAGCAGTTTTTACTAAAAAAAAAAAAGTATTAATAAATCATAAATATACATCTAAAATTTAACATTTCTTGATTTTTCCTGCATATAGATAACATTTATCTTCCTCTTGTAAGCATTCATTATTCATCCCCAAATAACAAAGTACAACCTTTCTTTTATTTCATGAAAAGTGTCTGTAACTTTATCTCTATAGTATATGTAATGTGTTGTGTCTTATTGTTTGCAAAGAAATTATCTCTTTATACAGACAGAGTATTATAATATGAATAAAATTATAGATTATAGATTATAGAAAGTTGATATTATATTATTTCTAACCATCATTATACTTAGATTATGACTAAAGTTTGATAAAATGTGGAAGGTAACTATAACAGTGGCTAGTCACTTAGATAGCCTTGTATAACTTTTTCTTGAAACTTATGAAATTTGAAGCTGATTCAGAATAATACTCATTTGCTAATAATCAATAGTTCTGAAAAATAAACATAAGTCATATCATAAAATTGCATCTTTAACAATATGACTAAGTATATACTGCGCATTTTAAAATAACAGATAATATTTTTATATTAATTTTTCTGTCTATATCACTCATACAAATATTTATTAAAGTTCTTTAGAATTGAATGAATTGATCTTGCATTTTTATATCAATTCTTTATTGTATTACAGAATTAGTGTATTAATTCAGTATCTAAGTCTAAAAACTTTTTACTTCAATATCTTCTAAACTAGCAGCAATAGATTTAACAGAAAGTAAGAGCTTCCTTCAATTATATTGCTCAATTTCTCAAGATGCATTTGATGTCATTTTTTTTTTAATATTTTCATTTCTAATTTTTTGCTTTATATTCCAGTATTTCTAATTTTTTTAAGGTTTAATAGATTTTTTAAGTAGATCTTTGTCAATATGTATATTATATATTTCCTGTCTTCTATTTGATGTTGAGTTTTTCTTGTTAGAATGAAGTCATTTTAATGTATAGTCTTTATTAAAATATAAAAAGCTTCGCTTTAAGATTGTAGAGTAGTTGATTATCAGGATTTATTTGTATATTTATTTGTCTATTTATGAATAATATTAGATAAGTCATGTAATTTTCAGTTCTTAAGTTTATATTTATAAACAAATTTAAATATAAGCAGAAGGTTTTTATTAATTAAATTATGTAAAAAACATTATATAAAATAACCAATCAGTATCAGCATTCTATACTTTCAAAATTAATCTAGAACTAGAATCTTACCTATAATTATGATGCTTTATTTAATTATAAATAAGATAAATTCATTTTACAAATTTCTAATAATGGTTAAAAGATCGTTATATTTGAAATTATCAAAATATGAGAATGGACTTAATTTCTTAACAAATTTGAAAGTGAAGAGATAAAATAATGAATAATTTAAACTGCATATTTATTAGTAATATATAGTTTTAAATTTATTATTAATATACCATATATATTTAAGATGAGGGTAGATTTTGATATGAAACGTTTGCTGATTTGAATAATTTTTAATTTCGATATTAATAATAGCAAAATATATAAATTTTTTTTCATAATAAATTATCATATATTTAACTTTAAAATAATTACATATTTTTTGAATTTTTACTTAAAAATATTATAAAATTTATTATAAAAATATTAATTTTTAAATTAATTATTTTAAAAATATTTAAAAGTATTATAAATAATTTTAATTATTAAATAAAATTGTAGGCAAATTTGCCTGCAATATACTTGAAGAGATAAGTTTTGTACTTAATAGTTAATTATAATATACCATCTTCCTTTTTTTAAAAATCTTCTAAAAGAAATGCAAAATGCTCTTTATTCTTAATACCTAATAAAAGTGTTTTGTAAAAGTAAATCTGATATAATAATCGTTTATGATTTTAAATTTTTAATATTTTATTTATGGATAGTGCATCAACACCCTTTACATTATTAAGTCCTAAATCAGAAAGAAACTTTAATTTTCCATTAAGAACTTTCCAAAGTGTTGAAAATGTTACTTGATCATGAATGTTTACTCCAGATATTACAGAATGTTTGATAAGATGTCAATGTATAGTAGCAATTGCATAGCGAACAGAACTTGCAGAATATTGTTATCCATTTTTTTGTTTCATTTCTGCAATATAAGTTGCAAGTTAATTATCAAGTTCTTATATTGAATTTATTTGTTCAATTTTCTCTTCTGCAAACTTTCCCTTTCTAAATTCTTCTAGTCCATTGATCATACTTTTTACTTGTTTAATGATTTGAAAAATTCAACTTTATTAGACTCATTGATCTATTAAAAAAAAATACATTTATAGAAATGCATTATTTAATAATTCATAAATATATTTTAACAATAATAATGTTTATTTTTAATATTACATTTGACGTTTGTGCGCGCTTTTTACTTTCATTTAGCATTATTTAGAAGGTTAGAATCCTATTTTAGATAAAAGAAAAACTGTATAAAAATAATGGCTTTCAACTTTTTTCGTAATATTTTTGAAAAAAAAAATGTGAAAAAGAAGAAGAACAATAGAAATTAAAGAAACGTGTGGCTTTTAAAGAAGTTTAATTTGGTCACATGATGATCAAGTGATCCGAATAATAATATTGTTATTGTTCAGGTACACTTAATAACATTCTGATGTGACACCGCATGTCACATCAGACCATTATTAAGCACGTCCGAACAATAACATACAAATAATATTATTTACATAAAATAATTATATTTATATTTTTAAAAATTAAACAAATTTTTAAATCTATTGAATAATTTAACTATATTTATATTTTAAACTTATAAGTTTTACATAAATCAAAATCAATATAATATTTTTACTATTATTAAATTGAAAATTTCTAAGTTTACACGGGTATATGTATACAGATCACGTGACACATATATATTTGTCACTGGTGTCACACCCTCCGCCTTTAGTTTTTACTATTTATTTATTTAGAATTTTTTTCGGTGAAAAATTATTATTCGTCATGGACTATTCGTCACATAGTTATCACATGAGTATTTTCTTAATTTCTTCATGTTGCATGTTGGTAAAAGTAATGTTAATGCCGGCTGAATCACGTGATCCGTGTACAAATAGAAATTGCCTAAAATTTAAATTTTTTAAATTTTTAAATTTT